CGACTAAATGCCACATCAGGTACAGGTAATGAATCGAGCTACGAGGCAGAGGAACGATGCAATAGGTTTAGCTGGGTTAGACGGAAATGCTTTGGCTGCATCCACTATCACGAATCGTTGAAAATAAATTAATTTTTTGTTGATTTATCTAATTATTTATGTTACATGTAGCATACCGTTAGAAAAATTATCAACTAGAGAAGTTTTTAATTACATTTTAAAACCCTGTACTCTTGTGTGTTATTTATTTTGCTTATTGTAAAGTTGACATAACATTTGTTTAAATTGATTTAAGGGAAATTGTTGATCCACTGTTACTTGTTCTTCAACTGTTTGTATCAAATGTTGGTTGAATCTGAATGAAGTAACAGTAGACTTAAGAATAAAATCAATTTTGCGCCGTTGCGACCGTGAATAGAAAAAATATTGTAACTCAAATTTAAAAACTGGGCATTTTCTCAAAATCATCATTTCTCCTTAATTAATTAGGCGTTTCCGTTTGGCTACTCACCCTCCAAACACCCTGTATATAGCTTTTACTACGACGGTTTCTATATGATAATTTTTTATGATACCATTTGAGTGCAATATGCTTTAGCGAGCGATAATATCAGGAAGAACATATTAACAAACACCTTTTAAAAACGTTTCACATAACACTAATAAACAAATATAAACTCTTATCGGATAAAACCGGTGTAAATCTATTATGAAACAAATTTGTTCAGGAAGCTTAAATGTCGTATAAAATTGTTGTGTAAACATTTAAAAAACAATATTAAATTTTGTTGTAAAACTGTTTTAAATATTTGCTTTCAGCACGCTCTTACGACTACCTTATGAAGCAAAATACTTCTTAAAAGCTTAATTGTCTTACTGGCAATTTTATAGAAACAATATTGTAATAATAATAATAGGCCTAGGATTTTACCTGGCGGGTATCAGCTATTAAGCTGCTCTTACCACGAACCAGAAGTAGTAATAATGCAATTATAAAATAAGATTGCACGGTGTTGAATATTGTAAAATACCTTTGCTAGTTGCAAACAAGCATTGAAATCTACATGATTACCTTAATTTACGAACTTTAGCGATGACTACGACTACTTGTGTTTCAACTTCACTTTACGTCGGCCATTTTTAAATGTATTACAAAAAGCATTTTTTTGCAATGATAAAATGTCTCACCTAACTACTTCAGTGTTTATACAGGGTGGTCCATAAGTTCTTTGAAATTTCAAATTTGAATAAAATTTAACGGGTGAGCGTGAGCGGCGCGGGCGAGGTGGGGGCAGTATCTTCAGTGTCTGGGAATTCAGTCGCCATGGAGTGTTTCACTGGAGCGGATCGTGCTTTTTGTGTGCGCGCGTTTTATCAAAATAATGATTCGGCAACCATTGCGCGGCGTAAATATCGAGAATACCACAATTTACACAATTTTACAAAGTGTCCAACAGCTCAAACGATTAAGAACTGGGTTGCTAAGTTCGAAGAGACTGGTTCGACGTTAGATAAACAGCGGTGGGGTCGACCAAGGACAACTCGTATTGAAGAAAACATCAACATTGTGGCACAGTCTGTTCGTCAAAATCCTACCCATTCTACTCGTAAGCGTTCCAGTGCACTAAACGTACCCAGAACATCTTTACAGCGGATTTTAAGGAAAGATTTACGTCTGCACGCTTACAAAATTCAGTTAGTGCAGGAATTAAAAGATAATGACGCTATTCAGAGACTAAACTTTGCGAATGAAATGTTGAATCGATTTTCTTCGCTCAGTAATGTGTTGTTCTCGGACGAGGCTCATTTCCATTTAAACGGGCATGTAAATAAACAAAATTGCCGTTATTGGAGCCCCGAAAATCCAAGGCGTAAGCATCAGAAGCCCTTACACAGCCCTAAAGTTACAGTTTGGGCTGCTATGTCAGCGCATGGCATCGTAGGCCCTTATTTTTTTGAGGACCACAGAGGTCGCGCATTAACTGTTACTTCGGAGCGGTATGTAGCAATGATAGAAGAGTTTTTGACACCAGCGTTGCAGAATTTTCCAGGCTATAATACGCAGACCTGGTTTCAACAGGACGGAGCAACTGCCCACACCTCCAACACTTCTATGCCCGTCGTCTGTCAACTTTTTCCCAGCAAAGTAATTTCTCGAAGAGGAGACATTTCCTGGCCACCACGTAGTCCAGATTTGACCCCAATGGACTACTTTTTATGGGGCTACCTCAAGAATAAAGTGTACGACACCACTCCGCGATCAGTTGATGTCCTGAAAGAAAATATCCGAAGAGAAATGGCAAGCATTACAGTGTTGACTTGCCGCGCAGTCATCGACAATTTTAGACGTCGTTTATATGAGTGCCGTGATCGTAATGGATTGCATTTAGACGATGTGATTTTTAAAACATAATTCCCATTCAATAAGGATGATAACAAAATATAATAATTCTTCATAATGTAACTAGTTTGGTTTTATTCCTTTTTTTCCAGCTCAAAGGACTTATGGGCCACCCTGTATAACGGTATGAGATGGTTCACTTGAATTATAATATGTATCACACTACAGGCCAGAATAAGAAAAAAATGCAAAATGAAAATTTTGACCTTTTCTCATAAAATTCAAAAACTAATATACTTGAGGCGCTTCAAAATTTTGATATATGTATCCCATAAAATATACAAAAACTTCTTGTGCAAAAAATATCAATCATATCGAATTACTGTCTGGTATTGGATGTATATGTATATTGGACCCAAGTTTGAAAATACCACGGAGATTTAATTCAGTCAAATCTGTTCTTAAACATCACTGATTGAAGATTAATAGTTGTAGTAGAAAGTTTTTCATCATACATATACTAAGTGACATATAAATCCGAACACCCAGTTTAAGTGGTTTTATTTTAATAAAATTTTGTATAAGTACTTAATGAAGCATAATAAGTAAATGATAAAAATTTCAAAATGATTGCACTGCTTTAAAGCCCTTTGACCTTTAATAATGTGTGGATGCACCCTGATGTGCTACGCATTCTCCAACGCGCCTAGGCATGCTTCTGATCAGGTGGTCAATGTCCTCCTGTGGTATCTCATTCCAGGCAACCACCAACTCCTCTCGAAGTGCTTCTAGAGTCTGAGGAGGACGTTGGAAATTGAGCAATCTCCTACCCATCATATCCCACACGTGCTCAATTGGGGATAAGTCGGGAGATCTTGGTGGCCATGGTAACAATGTGACATCATTATGTTGAAAGAAGTCTATTGTGACTCTTGCAACATGTGGTCGGGCATTATCTTGTTGGAAAGTTGGATCTGCCAGGGTGTCAAGATAGGGTAAAAGATGGGGTTCTAGAACTTCGTGGATATAACGCTGCGCGTTCATGTGACCTCTGATGAAGATTAAATGTGACCTGGAACCATAAGCTATAGCACCCCAAACCATAACTCCAACAGTGTGATGAACATGTCTTTCAACAAAAAACTGTGGATTCCTCCTTTCACCACGTCGCCTTCTAACCCTGGCACGACCATCGTGCATGCCTAAACAAAGTCGAGACTCGTCACTAAAGACAATACTGTTCCATTCCTGATCCCAGAGTGACCGTTGTCTGCACCACTAAAGGCGATTACGTCGGTGTTCTCGAGTTAAAGGGAGGACCCAGTGTGGCCGGTATGAAAACAAGCCAAAACTTCTCATTCGTCGGTAAACACTTCGCATGCCAATAGGTCTTCCATGTTCTGCAAACCATTCGTTTGCAATGGACCTGGTAGTGGAGAAACGGTCCCTTAAGGCCAATAATCTTAGGCGGCGATCTTCAGGGTCTGTTGTTCTACCGCGGCGTCCAGTGCCCCTTGCTCTTTGCGTACGGCCTTCTCGAAGCCATGCCTGACAACACCTAACCACAGTGTCTACACTTCTTTGCACTCTAACTGCAATTGCCCGAAAAGAAAGTCCAGCTTCCCGAAGTCCCACTATACGGCCCCTATCAAACTCACTAAGTTGACGAAATCGTACGGGTCTCCGTACTCTAGGCATCGTAACCGATCGTAAAGGATGTCAAGAACCAAAATCCGCCAACGTTGATTCTTTACTGCGGCTGAAATATTCATTTTTAGAGCGTTAGTGAATTAAAAAAAAAGCAGTATAAAAACCGGAATGTCCAACTGATAAGGCTGAACATTTTTTCACTTGTTATTTACAGTAAGATAAATACATTCACCAACTTTTATTAAAACAAAACCATTTAAACTGGGTGTTCGGATTTATATGTCACTTAGTATATATTAGCTTGAAAATGTTTTTTAAGTCTAGATACGACCATTTTTCCAGGAAAAACAGCCCCTCAAATCACAACAAAATGCAACAAGGCTGATGTAGTTACTCAAACATACTTTATTTGCTTAAAAAGGTCTAACGTTTGGCTTTTTGTTATTTGTTATATCGACGACCCTTAACAATTATTCTCACTTCAACAACAAAAGCAAACTTTTAATGTTAGCTGCATCTAAGATAATAAAACAACTTCTATAAATATGTTTTATTGTAGCACTATAACTGTTTTCAATAAAACTGTTTAATAATTGTTGCATACTATGTTTTTTAATAATTTTAAAAACGTTTAAAGAATTATCTGGTGAAAGCTGGGACATAACAAAACAAATTAAATAACAAAATTGCTGAACAATTTCTGTTGACGTTATTAGGAATTTATAAAACATAAATTGTTAGTTGCCGGCTACAACTGGACGAATGTATACGGCATAGGAGGTGGGGCGGCAATACATTATCAGAGCAATTCAGCGATACATCAAACGCTTTTAATTCAAGATTTAATCATTTCTTTCTCTCAGTTATGTCCACCTGTATGTAAAATTTCGTTCAAATCATTTTTACAGGGTCGTCTATTTCCTTTGTCACGGAGTGTATCAAAACTGTTTTGAAAATTATTCTGTATAAGTTAAGGTGTAATATCTCCGGTATTCTTCCGTGATTCTAGGATCATAGAAATAGCAGGGGGAAGAGAAATATACTCGCAGAGTCGCAGCAAAGCGTTGAGGAAATCTCGAAGTTTGCTGAGCACCAACGAAGATGGAGAGAAGAAACCGCAAAAGTCTCCGATGAGACAGGGGGTTTGGGAGTTGCGAACTCACGGTGACACCAAAAAGTTGCGCAACTCCAGGGATTATACGGAAACGACATTTTCGTCGGAAGTGTGCTCTGTGGTGCATGAGCAAAATGAGGAGTCAGACGTAGGGAAGACTAGTCCTGTCAGTATGACCTTTCCGGGAGAGGTAATTATTACATTATTGCTGTCCATACATCTTTCATACTGTAGGAATTATGAAAATCGTAAAAACACAAACTTTCGCGATCATAAATATAACGGGTGTTTCAAATTCGAGATACGAAGTGGGAGCAAAGTTGCGAGCTTAGGTAATTAACAAAATGTCGCTTTGAAAGTTTCGAAATTCAAATTCTCTCAAGAGAGACAGAAAAAACCAACTTGGTTTTAATTTTTTCCAGACTTTATTTGTAGTAGTATCTTAAAATAAATTGCACATGACGTTGCCACTTTTTCTCTTCTATGAGATGGCATAACTAGAATTCCAATATGACGTTTTGTATCTTTTCCTCCAGCATAAACCTTATTTTTTCTTATGGACGCTATAAAAACTAGTCTCGTCTTACGTTTTTGCCGAGTTTTTAGCATTCTTAACAAAAACTTTGCGGTCTCATCTTGGTCTACGATTGTTGTCACCAAAATAAGGTTTCCAACGCTGAATCTTTGCCGCGCGTGATGCTAGGTGAAATCTGCCAAAATTGTCATGTGAGTCGGCTCCCACACCTCCGATCCCAACAAGAAGCGCCTATTTGCGATGCTCACCACTGGTCCCACAGCCATGCGCTTCATTACCGTCACCGCCAGGTGCGAAATTCGTGCGGTCAACCGATTTTTGCACGCACCACCCCTAGAAATTCATCGCCACTTGATTGAAGTATAAGGGAAACGTGTATAAGCATTCAACATGACCTCAAATGGCGAAGAGAGTGCTCTGACGGCAGCACGGTCATCCACGATGAATAACGAAGTAGGAGGCCGAAGTGTAAGACTGCACCACAACAATGCGCATCCTCGTCTCTCACAACGAGCGAAGGACTTAATCGAGCGATTTGGAAGTCATTGCCCACCCCCCTTACAGCCCTGGCATCGCGTTTCGGAAATTGACGGAGCACCTAAGTTGTCAACGGACTTCATTGAGACGGGAGTGCAAAAGTGGGTTTCATGTCTAAAAAAATGCGTAAAAAATGGCGACTATGTAGGAAAATAGCTTCAACAATTCGTTTTTTCAAATCAACAAATTGGTTGCGCTTGAAAAAAATGTGGAAACCTTATTTTTGAAACAACCCTCGTATTACTGATTTGCAAATAAAATCAGCGAAAATAATTATAAAACGCTACATTCTTACAAAGCAGAATGGAGTTTAGCTCTTTTCTCGGTGTTCGGTGGTTACGTCAGAAAGTCATACGAAATAAATAAACATATCGTCTTAAGACCAGGCTGCCTAGATAACTCGCGATCATGTCAAATAGACCGGCGATTGGTCAAACAATTTGAGGTTAGAAAATTTTTGGATTCCAAGCTGACGTACTTCTGTTATTAAACCAAGTCTTGGGATATTCCGCACAGGATTAAAAGTCAAATAGCTATGTGGCAACTTACATGTTCTGAAAAGAGCATCTCTTGCGAAAAGTGTGATTTATAACATTGTTGAATGAAGAATGTATTTCGTAGGTTGCAAATGGATGGTAAATATTTCCACCATGAATAAATGTCCAAACAAAAGTAAATTTCAATAAAAAGGAGGTGCTTAATGAATTCATTCAACAAGACATTTATTTCGGACTAAATAAGAACAGTCGCCATCAGCTGTTTTCTGGACGCCATGTTTTTGGAATCATATTTTATCTCTCTCTGATTTTCTATTTATATAACCACTCTTTCGTTTGACATTAAACAATATTCATTTTTTGTCGTTATTCAATTTCATTAGTAGTGTCCAAAGTCACAACACTCTGTATCTCGAAAACGAAATTTTTGCGAACCCACATTTATATGAACTTTTGTCTTGAAGACACCTACCGAATCGTCATATGAAATGTTGGATACTTATTAAGAAAAACTGTATTTATACAGACCTTTTTTTAATTTTGAAGAGCTGAATCTGTCTTCAATTTTCGATAACATTCTGTAGCTCTTTCTGGTTAGTTAACTATAACCAGGAGGTTAACTTGTAGGTGTCTCCAAATGCACAAGTATTTTGACAGCGCCAGTTAACTAACCAGAAGTTCATCATGTATTTATGTTGCAATCCTGCAGCCGTGGTTCTTAGATATCGTTGTTACGTGCGATTTGTGCGCTTGGCATCTGTGGCTTGTGTCACACATGACAACTCGCCTTTTTTTAATGAAATTTTATAAAATAGTCGAAATTTGAATAAAACCTTTGTCAAGCAGCATAAGGTTTTCCAAACATTGCTTGTACAAATGTTTAGTAGTAGAATCTATAGACGGGATTGTACGTGGTCTGTAAATTAAGTTGTGAGACTGATTTTGTTAACTTGTTCTATTCAAATATAATTACAATTTTATATTGCCACCCTCAAAATAACTTTGTTTTGAAGCCACCCGGCGCTGAAGCCTGTTCGTATAGCAATGCTGTAACTGGGATACTTGAATAGCCTTCAGCTGGTAAGTTACAGCAGCTTGAATGTTTTCGACTGTTCCAAAATGAGTCTTAAGCTGACTTTTCAACTTCGGGAAGGAGGCTCACGACCCACAAGAATGTTTTTACTGACCAAAAACTCGTTTATTGACATTGCTGCGTGACAAGGAGCATTATTATGACGCAACACCCAGTTGTTCTTGATCTGATGAACGGTGGTGTGAGTCAAATTTAACTCTGCACGATCATTCTGACTGCCCGCCGACGATCTGAACGCACAAGAGCCCGGATCCTGTCGATATTTTAATCGGTTCTTGAAGGCCTTCTGCTTCGTGGTTCATCTTCAATCGAATCTCTTCCTTCTGAAAATGCCTTAAGCCACCGAAAAACCTGGGCTCTTTACACACCACTATCTCCGCAAGCCTGTTTAGCAAGAGTTTCCGTTGCACTGTGCCCAAGTTTGAAGCAAAATCTGATAGCATAGCGTTGCTTGAAATCGATTTCACTCATTACTAGAACACAATAGAAAAAACTGTTTCACAAAAAAATTGACACGGATAACCAAATGGATCGGGCGTGCTCATACTTGTATTGAAAGCGGATCACGTGTTTCCCTGTCTCCCCTCCAACCTCGGCGCCTCCAGTGTTGCCAGATCGAATGCTACGTTACTTAATTCACAGATCACGTAGAAATGGTGATGAGGAAGGTAAAAAAATATGCTAAAAATACAATTAAGTTTGTAAATATCTGTTGAGTAGCGTACTTATCAACTCCTTTGGCATCACTAAGATAATTCACGACTCAAAAATAAAGGTCTTCAGTAGCGGAGAAAAAAATAGATAAGTGTCAGTTTAGTATGAGAAATGCTGTTTTCATTATTGAAGCTACGATTGAGGCACTTGGATATAACACTGACGAGTTTGCTATAAACAAGTTCTACATTCAAAGAAATCTTACCGAAAAGTGTAAGGAGCGCGCAGAAGCTATAAAGCTTGATTTCCAAATCAAGTAACCAGATACTGTAACTGTCCACTGGAATGGCAAATGCTGCCACCTTTAAATGCACGAAAGTCTGAAGGCAGTTTGGGATGCTATTATTGACTGGAATCTTGAAGGTAAAGTTTAGATTCTCTGTTGTGATACTGCTGCTTCAAATACGGGTTCCATTAAGGGTGCCTGCGTACTTCTCGGACAGAAACTTAACAAAGAAATGCTTATTTTTTCTTGCCTTCATCACGACTACGAATTGGTATTAAAAGGCGTGTTTGAATCAAAGATCGACCAAGTCACTACAAGCCCTGGCATTCTTATGTTTAATAAGTTTCGCGAGAGCTGGAAAAGTGTGGATCCCGAGAAAATACAGATTTGCACTGAAACAGGCAGGTATATCCTGACTGTAAAAAGAAAACTTTGAAAACAAATTTAGTACATAATGTTATTTTAATGATAAATATCTAAGAAATAGATACAAATAAAGCAGTGTTTTATTTGTCAAATAAGAATTATGTTTTGAAATACATGGTTTCCCTATTAACTTTCAAATTCAAAGTTTCCCGATTGCAACAATATTTACTTTTTGAGTTGTTAGAATTGAATGGCAAAAATAGTGGATATGCGCATTTCAATTCGAACAAAAAATTGTTTGCCCTCATAGGCTTGGCAATCTAATAAAAATGATGTTGAAGAAAGCTTTTTCATAGATATCTATAAGTTAAGACTAAGGTCGTAGTTATGCTGAAAAACTGGGCCTAATAGTATTTGTAATTGCCGGAGGTGGTGGTGTTCGACGACATAGGCGAGACCTGGAACCTAGTGGAGCCAAAACCTGCTGAATCCGACCGCACTGCCAATGCTAAGTTCAACTCGAATGAGTCGAAGGGTGATAAGGTGACCAAGGTGATAGGGAACCTCCCTATCGCCGTGTATGAGGGTTCCCCAAGACGTTATGGACAGAGGCATACGGAGAACAACTGCTCACATCCTCAACTACCCAGCGCTCAAAGTTTGCTTTCATCGCCTAGCGTTTATCCACCAAGGCCCGGGTTTCCACAGAGGGTTGTCAATAGTCCGGATTCTGTCGACGCAAACTCCGAAAGCAACATAGAAAATAATGTAAGTAGAGGAGCAAGAGAAGCAAAATAATTTATTCATTTCTATTTCTCGCGCCACGGGCGAGAAAGTATTATAATCGCGAACAGTTTCGGAATGAATGTTTTTTTTCAGGATTCTTTATAGTGATATAGCAATCATCAAAATTCCATTCTTCTACTCTCAACATGAATTATTTAAACTCTTTACTTATTCCCATTATTGCTGAAATTCTAGCTGCCTAGTCAAACGTCAAATATCTTATACATATTAGTCATACACATTTTAACTTTCGAACTGTTTCATTAACGATGTTCGAGACGCAATCAAAAGCTTAAAGAATTCTGAAAGTCAATATCCTCATCGACTTTAAAATTATGAAGATCTTAAATATCTTGAACCTTTAACTAAATTGATAAACATGTGTTTAGAAAATAGTGTCTTTCCTGACTTCTTAAGATTGGCAAAACGATAAAACGATACATGTAGTTACAGACCCATTTCCATAATATCTATTATAGCAAAAATTTTCGAAATACTACTGCATTTTGCTTCAAAAGTTGTTGTTGTACGGTTTTAGTAAAAACGACCTGTCCTTAATTACCTCTTTATGTTATCTGACAAGACAGGATGTTAGTTTTCAAAATTGTTTATCTATCACTAACCGGGTGATTCTCTGAGGTGGCTCACCCCTATAACTTTTTTATTATTGAAGATAGAAAAAAGAAATTTGGGGGTTGCGTATTATAGATAAATTTACAATTTTTCACATATTCACTTGCTTTGACGTACTTCCGGTTTTACCGGAAACGACCCCAAATTTCTATTTTTAAATAGGACACCCTATATATTTTTAGTGATTTCGACGGAGAATGACATTCTGAACTCAACAATGCCTCACTTGTCAATATTTGACAAATAAAGTCATTTTTGTTTCAATTTTTATTTTTCGATCTCGAATGCCATGTATCCTGTAAATCGCTTCATTTTTGATCAAGTAACACGGGAAAAATACGATTTTGAGACGAACGACCTTACAGTCGTTTTAAAGATTTTCTAAAAGTTACAAACACTAATTTTCCATTTTAATTGATTTTTTCAAATAGGAAGTGGGCGGCTCGTCGACTTTTTCTCAGAGACTATTTTCTTACGAATAGTTTGACACTACACACTCTTATTTTATTTTCACTATTTTTCTGAATAATTGTAAGAAACGATCATACCTAACAACAAATAATACGTATCTGCATTCGGTATACCTATGCACTAAGTCCTACTATTCTAGTTAGTTATCCGTGACAAACAATGAAGGTGTCGCTTACTTCAACAAATACCTAACCTAGCTTATTAAAAATACTGTCAGTTTTAAAAATTGTTTTGTCACGTAGTTAATTTACAATGGAAAACTATACTAGAAGCGAGAAAATTGACATGCTGTTGATTTACGGGGAAGCAAGAAAAAATGCAACTGAGGCAGCTCGAATTTATTCTCAGAGATTCCCCAATCGTCGCCATCCCACCCGGCATTATTTTCCAAAACTCTGGAACAGAAAAGATGAAATGAACCAAAAGAAAAAAACCGATGACTTAATCGTCAGCGAAGGCCTATGTTGGAGTATATTGTATAACGGCAAATTGTTTGAGAATGTGACATAACTTATTCATCCGTTTATCGAACATTCAAGTACCAATTACACCAATATATTTATGTTGACGACCACAACCGAAGATTAACTTATTGAAAATGGTTTTTGACTAAATACTAGACTAGACTTTACTAGAGATGTACGTTTTCCAAGTAAAATTATTTATTCAGACGAAAGGCGGTTTACCAGCTTAGGTATGTTCAACCGGTATAATAAAAGGTATAGGTATCAGACAGACTTACGTCTAATGCAAGAAGGAAATTTTCAAGAGCACTTTGGTTTCAACTGCTGAATGGGTGTTATCGGAGAAAAACTTTTGGAGTCAATAATTTTCGATGGACAACTTACTGAGAGAATTAAAAATCAGGTATATGAAACTGCGTCAGATACTCGCGAAGAACTGGAGCATAATGTAAGGGCGGCATTTCGGAATATCCTGCGGAATCGTTAATCAATGTGGTGCAAGCAACAATTGATAAAGTTGAACTTTGCCGTGATCAAGGAGGAGGTCATTTTGAACACTTAGAACCTTAATTTTTGAATTTTATTTTTTATTATAATAATGATAGGGTATGTATTTAATTCATTTGTCTACTTTACGTAGGCCAACTCGTCTATTTCGCTTTCTTCACTGTTGATAAAGTTATTCACATTTTAACTTCTGGTTCGTTGCACATTTTATATTTCGAAATCGACACCTTAAATTGTTTGTCACGAATAACCAGAATAATAGGACTTAGTGCTTAGGTATACCGAATTCAGATACGTGTTTTGTTTTTAGGTATGATCGTTTCTTATGATTATTCAGAAAAATAGTGAAAATAAAAAAAAAGTGTGTAGTGTCAAACTATTCGTAAGAAAATAGTCTCTTAGAAAAAGTCGACGAGCCGCCCACTTTCTATTTGAAAAAATCAATTAAAAAGGAAAATTAGTGTTTGTAACTTTTAGAAAATCTTCAAAACGACTGTCGTTCGCCTCAAAATCGTATTTTTCCCGTGTTACTTGATCAAAAATGAAGCGATTTACAGGATCCATGGCATTCTAGATCGAAAAATAAAAATTGAAATAAAAACGACTTTATTTGTCAAATATTGATTAGTGAGGCGTTGTTGAGTTCAAAATGTCATTCTCGATCGAAATCAGTAAAAATATATAGGGTGTTCCATTTAAAAATCTAAAGTTGGAGTCGTTTCCGGTCAAACCGGAAGTTCGTCAAAGCAAGTGAATATGTCAAAAAATGTAAATTTATCTAAAATACGCAACCCCCAAATTTAGTTTTTCTATCTTCAATGATAAAAAAGTTAGAGGTGAGCCGCCACGTTATATTAACCACGGAGTTCCCCACGGAAGTGTCTTCGGACCGATTCTTTTTTGATTGAATCAATGATATGCCAAACTGTAGCATGAATCAATGTATATTATTTGCAGATAACAAAATTATAATTTTGACGAGGTATTATTCGATTCTCAACAGCATTTTGACTAGATACAAAACTGGTTTAATGCCAACAGTTTGTCTCTTAATATAGCAAAAACTCAATCTCTTTTACTCAACACTTACCCACATAAAAGTAATTTAATAGAACCCGCGAAATTCCTTGGAGTGTTTATTGACTCGTACTTATTTTTTGAAGTCACATCACCACTATTATTAGAGTTAGACTTTGATGACAACCTATAATACTTACTTCAGATCTAACTTACAATACTGTATACTGATTTGGGGTCATTCATCTCATGTATCGAAGCTGTTCAGAGACGATGCTAGAGGATAATAGCAAACTTACAATTGAGACAGTGTTGCGGGATGGCATTTACTGATCTAAAAATGTTAACCGTACCATGCATACAGTGAGTGTAAAAAGTATTCGTACACCTGGTTTCCATAACGAAAAATACCATATCTCGCCTAATTTATTGGTGTTAGACATCCGAAAGAAAATAGATATGTACATTAGATTCTGCTTAATTCACTTTTATCGATGGAATCCAAAAACAAAACAGAATAGACTCTAAAAATAATAAAAAGTCACAAGAATGTGCCTGGTGGGCGCAAAAAAAGTATTCGTACAGTCGTAATAATGCCGAAAAACTCGCTAGTCAGCCGCACAATCCGAACGCAGGGCGACCTCGCTCATTCGGTAGACGATACTACTCCCTGGGTTGCTCAGTTTCAGATTCTGTGCTGTAAACATGGGCCGCAAAGGCAAAGAAACGTGTTTAGAGGAGCGAAAGTTAATTTTAAGGCTCCATAACCAGTGCAAGTCGCTAGGTGCTATATCAAACTTAGTGGGACGACCCCGGTCGACTGTACAAAAAGTAATTGATCGGTACTGTGAAACCAAAACGTTTGTAAACAAGGCCAGGAGTGGACGACCCAAAGTTTTGAGCGAGCAGGACAAGAGAATGATTGTACGGACAATCAAAAAGAACCCAAAAGTGAGTGCGCCGAAGATTGTAGCTGACCTGTCACAGAGGGGGACCAAGGTGTCCATCGCGACAGTGCGCAACATGTTGAGGAGCGAGGGGAATCGCGGGTGCACGCCCCGGAAGAAGCCGTGGGTAAGCAAAGTCAACAGAGCCAAGCGTATCGCCTTTTGCAAGGGGCACCTAAAGGACACTGCAGAGTTCAGAAATAAGACTATTTACTCAGATGAGAGTAAATATAACATTTTTCGTTCAGATGGTAACAAAAAAGTGTGGCGCAAGAAAAATACAGATCTTTCTCCCGAGAATTTGTGTGCCACTGTAAAACACGGTGGTGGATCTGTTTTAGTGTGGGGTGCATGAGTGCTTCTGGGGTGGGTAATTTAGCTTTCATCGATGGCATCATGGACCACAAGAAGTATATAGAGCTATTGAAGCAAAATTTGAAAGAAAGTGCGATTAAAATGGGTTTAGGAAATGACTACATCTTTCAGCAATACAACGATCCAAAACATACCGCAACAAATACGAAGATGTGGCTGCTGTACAACACCCCCAAGCAGCTAAATACCCCACCCCAATCACCGGACTTGAACCCCATAGAACATTTATGGAGTTACCTAGAGACAAAAATAAGGGAAAATTGGCAGATCTCTAAGAGAGGGGATCTGAAAACTGCTTTACTGACCGTGTGGACCCGCATACCCCCTTCACTGACGTCTAGGCTGGTAGACTCCGTGCCAAACCGGTATGAGAGTGTTTTGAATGGAAAGGGGTACCCAACCAAGTACTAAATTGTTGTGATGTTCATGTATCATGTGCAAGACTGACAATTTATGACGAAAAACCACATGTGTACGAATACTTTTTTTTCGCCTTCCAGGTAGATTTTTGTGAGTTGTTATTTCCTCTAGAGACTATTTTGTTTTGTTTTCGAATGATTGATCAGATTGAATAAAGAATACTTTGATGTAGATGTCTATTTTTTTGCAGATGTCTAGCAACAATAATTAGAGAGACATTCAGTCTTTCGCTTAGAAATCCAAGTGTACGAATACTTTCTACACTTACTGTATATAGACTGGAATGTTTGAACCATGTTGAAAATAATTATGATGATTTCATAGCTCCAAAAGAACTTCACAAATATAACTCAAGGTTCAATAATGAATTAATACCAGAAAACACAAGACTAGCAACAATCAGACACGGTGTAAAATTCTTTAATGTTCTGCCCAGGTTTTGTCAAACACTCAACCCAACCATTTTTAAACAAACTGTGATAAGATATTTAGTGACGAAAGCTTTTTACAGCACAGACGAGTTTTTAAATATTGATTTTACCGACTTTGTTCCATAATTGTTGACTATCTGTCTTATTACTGTGTGGTTGTTTACGATTTTGTTCGTTTTTTAAGTGTATGTGTTATTCTGTTACTGCTTTTTATTGTTCAAATGCTGAGACTTGCTTCAACGTGTGTAAGCTCATTTGTGTATAATCACAAATAAATTATTATTATAATTGATAACAATATATCTTTATTAAGGAATGTATTATAATGCAAAGCAAAATTTTGGTTTGAAAAGCTTACTTCCGATTTAGCATCTTAAGTTTTTCTATGAATTTTAATTGTCTTATTTTTTTAAACGAGTACAGAAAATTTCCTATATAAAATGCTATGTTTCATATCCCATTATATTACCTTTCATTTTAAAAAAATTCTTCGAAGAAATTCCAATTTCAAATACCCCATAACTTAGCAAATTAATCTGCTACGAAAAAAAACGTGTTTTCTCTTTCACACCTACTACTACCCAATATGACGACTTGTAAAACCTAACTTTTTTCGCTGTTCGCTTCACTTGTTTGATTGCGTGAATTGTGACTTTTCAAACCCCTTGTTCGTTTTTCGCATAATAGTAGTCTTATGTCAAAATCTCATCCGATACTTTCCGTTATACATTTGTCAAGGATTAGCAGGCAGACAGGCTGACGGGAATAAGTGACTGGTTTTTTATTATATCTCATCTTTTGCGATTATAATACTTCCTCGCACGTTGGTATGGGAAACAAAAAAATTACCTTATTGTTCCAAATAGATTAGAAGCAATTTATTACTTATACTTCCAGGTAAACTGTCCTCTAACTCCAAATCCGACGACAACCTCGTCAACGTTCGACTATCTGTACGAATTCTCCGAAACTCGGAAGGTTCTAGAAGAGTTCTTCAAATGTCCTCCACCAGAAGAAGATAACCGATTGGACGAGGAGTTCCAGGACCTTGAGTACGAACTCCGACGACAAACAAGTGATTCTGGAAACTCGTACGTAGGACAGCGTCTGGCTAAGAATCTCCCAGAGGAAAATGAATTCTGTACCAGAATTGATTCTCCCAAGAAGTGCTTTAATATACCTACAATACAGGTAAGTATTGATTTATGTTTTTTTCACTTCAAGGTTCCTGCAGATGTATACCAGGTCTGTATATTAAGTGATGGGACTGGAATAGCCTTCAGCTGGTCGGTTACAGCCGTTTGAATGGTTTCGACTATCGCAAAATGTGCTTCCTTGAGGTGATTTTCGGGAAGAGCAAAAGCCATTGTTTATCGTCATTGATGTCTGACAAGAAGTATTTTCGTGATGCAACACCCAATTGTTCTTGATCTGATGAGCGGTGGTGTGAGTCAAATTTAACTCTTCTCCGATCATTCTGACTGTCTTCCGACGTTCTGAACGCACAAAATCCCGGATTCTGTCGATATTTTAATCTGTTCTTAAACATGTTTAGCAAGAGTTTCCGTTGCACTGTGCTCAAGCCTAAAGCAAAACTTGATAGCAGACCGTTTTCTCGAAATCGATGTCACTCATTTTTAGAACACAATAGAAAAAACGTGTTTTACAAAAAAATGGCTCTCGACAGGCATATGACTCGAGCTAGTTCAAACTTGTACTGAAATGGATCACATGTTCCCATGTCTCCCCTCCAAGCCCCGCGCTTCCAGTGTTGCCAGATCGAACGTTATGTTGCCAGTCTCATCATTTAATTTACAGACCTCGCACTGCTTCCATTTCTATTCTTTCTTCAACTGCCAAGCCACATTTTTTTCCAAATTGCTTTTTTATGCTGGAAACGCTTTCTTATAGGTAGATGTGTATTTTAAGGATAATCAAAGTAAGTTAATATATTTTTCTTCCGTTTCAAATAATACACGATCATTGCAAAAATATCAACTTCGGTGATACTGCAAAAGCGTGATACAGCAGTACTCAGTATGGCGGATCTACATTTTCTCAATTCTATAGGAGGAAGGAAAAAGTGCTTATTAGAATACATTTTTTTAACTGAACCTATTTGCCATTTCGCTGCCTGTTGTTTTATAGGAATGTGATAAGAATTTACCAATATCTTCTTTGGTTTTAATAAATATCGCTTACGTATTTTTGCCGCTACAAGATAGGGATGCAGTCTAATTTTAGTTGTGTGTTTTTGTTATTAAAATTTTTATTATTCTGTAATGATTTAATGACATATAAAAACCTTACAAGCATTTATAATGTTCCTTATAAAATATCGAAAATATTGATAAATCAAGTCCATGAGAAAAATAACGATGATTATTTACAAATAAACATCCATAAATCTGGAGCACGAATCACTCGTGTCCAGACTTCCTGTAAAGAGTGGGCCATTTAAAATTTGTAATTTGAATCAACTATACAGGGTGTTCAAGATACAGATCTTATGCATGAGTATCTCAATGCCTGTGGGAGATACAGCTTATTTATAAAGGGTGTCCCAAAATTAACGCAAGATTTGAATTAAATAGAAAATGCCATTTTTAGTCTTTTAATAGTTATATTTTTATTGACTCATAAAGTACATAGGATAGGGTTATGTATGGAATAACACATCGGACAAATGGCCTCCACGGCTTTGCATGCACATGCGCACTCTTTTGTCGAAATTTTCCATGACCCTTCTGCATAAATGTGGCTGAATTTCGTTGATGCAGCGTTGAATCTCCTCCTTTAATGCACGGGTGGTTGTGGGCTTGTTGACATAGACTTGTGATTTCAAATAACCCCATAAAAAGAAGTCTAATGGTGTTAAATCACACGATCTAGGAGGCCAATTTTGATCACCGAAACGAGAGAGTACACGACCGGGAAATGTCTCATGCAGTAATTGAATTGTTTCACGGGCTGTATGACATGTGGCACCGTCTTGTTGAAACCACATATTGGGTACATCAATATCATTCAATTTTGGCAGAAAGAACTGTGTAATCATGTCGCGATATCGAGCACCAGTAACAGTCACTGCTTGACCAGCATCATTTTCAAAAAAATATGGCCCAATTATGCCTCCAGCCCAAAATCCACACCAGACAGTCACGCGTTGTGGGTGCATTTCTTTTTCGACAATCACACGTGGGTTCTCCGAACCCCAAATGCGGCAATTTTGGCGATTGACAAAGCCATCAAGATGAAAATGTGCTTCATCGCTTAGGATGATTTTGCTTGAAAAATCAGGGTCCATTTGTTGATGTTCAATAATCCATTCAACAAACTCTCTTCTCTCTGCATGGTCATTAAGCTTCAATTGTTGTGTTAATTGAAGTTTGTAAGCATGAAGACACAGATCTTTGGTGAGTATACGCTGTAGAGAGGTTCTTGACATTTGCAATTCTTGTCCACGACGTCGAATTGAGGTTCCTGGATTGTCCGCAACACTCTCACGCACTGCTTCGATATTCACATTTGAACGGCTTGTTTTTGGACGACCAGTGTGTTTGGCGTCTCCAACGGATCCAGTCTCCATGAATTTTTCAATTAATCTCTTCACAGTTGACGAAGTTAAAACACTATTCCGGCCATATTTTGTATGAAATTTTCGAACTGCAGCCGCCAAGCTTTCACTATTTTTGAAATATTCTTTAATAATGAAGACACGTTGTTCTATCGTGTAACGCTCCATTTTTCATAACCCTATACTGTTAGCTGTCAAATTGCTTTTTTTCAGGGTTGCCAACACTTCACTGCACAAATGGCGGCAAATTCAAATCTTGCGTTAATTTTGGGACACCCTTTATATGCCGTTGAGAAATTTCATGGCTTACTGAGATATTTGGGAAAAATATGGCCAAATCATTTTTGTTTTTCTGACTTTATTTAAAGAAATATCAAAAAACTAATGAAACCTTTTCATTGGCACTTTTTAGGCACTACATGATAGTGTTTTTAAATTTTGTGCTAGACGGTTCGTTTTTGAGAAACCATCATTAACTTTATTTTTTATATTATATGGTCCTAAAATAGTACACCCTAATAACCTTTTTTATGCGAATTAAACGATGTATCACAAGATACATTAATTTTTTTGGTTATAAGGAAAAATGCGTTTTTTCTGATTGTTTCATTTTTTTAGGTAGGCGCTGCAAACAAATGTTTGACTTTGCATAAATACCTATCACCGAGTATTGTTATTATTATGTATTGCTTTTTTGTTGTCGAATATTTCAGACAGCCATTTTAGCAATGCTGACGTGCTACATTTTATGCTTAAAAAATACTGCAAAAATGTATATTGATAACTTTTCCGAAAGAATGCAGCCAAGTAAGTCCATTTTCGTAGAGTTGGCTCGAAATTTAAATGAATATGGTTCATTCAAAAAGCCTGTTTCGAAAAAAGAAGCAAGCAGTTGCTGAGAACTAGGCAAATTGAGAAAAATATAGGTGTAGCCAAATCCACAGCCCAACTTAGTTTTGCGTAAAAATAGATATCACTCGTATAAACTCAGGATTTGCCAAGGACTTAGTCCAGGGAATAGCGATCGGCGCCAGCATTTTCATGAGTCGTACACGCGAGCGTGTGTAGAAGATTCTAATTTCGAGAGTATCGTATTTTTAATCGCCGCAACACTCATACTCGGCTCAAGAAAATCTGCGGCTAAAAAAGTATCCAGATATCAAGAATGTTTGGGTTCAATATTTGGTGTAGATTTCTAGAGACCACAATATTAGGTCCAGCTATTTACCATAACTCATTAACTGCAGAACGTACCTCCAATTTTTGCAACATGATCTAGAAGTCTGCTTGGATAATTTACCTTTGGCACAGGTTAATAGCTGTTGGTTTTAACAATACGGAGCTACTGCACATAATGCTGGGTAAGTTCGAGAGTACCTTTCTTAGTGATTTACCGGTAGGTGGATTGGAACCTCCATTGAAGTGTCCTGGCTAGCGTGTTCTCCTCTGGATTTTTTTGTTTGGGGTTTTTTTAAAAACCAAGATTATTAGCATACCTTTAAAATTGAGCAACAGTTACGAGAATTTTCAATGGAAGCATTTATTATGATTACACCAGAAATGTTATGTAATGTTTTGAATTCCACTGTTAGATTATATTTATGTTTAGAAAATAATATCAACCTATTTGAACACCTATTGTGAATAAAATAAAAATAATGTTAAAAAAAGTATTCGTTACTCTGAGTATCACTAGATTAAGCATCATTTTATAGAATTTTACGCCATCATATCACTATGCAATATGCAATATCATTAGTAATCACATCAAAAACATTTTTGCAACGTCTACTTAAATAAAATAAAAACAATAAAAAACACATTTTCCTTCATAACTAAGAAAACAATATCGTCGAATTAGTAATTTACAGGGTGTACTTTTTCGGACCATATAAAAAAACTTGGTGATGGTTCCTCAAAAACGAAACGTCTTGCACAAAATTTAAAAACAACATCATGCCAATGAAAAAATTCCATTAAATTTTTGAGATTACTTGAAAGTCAGAAAAAATAAAAACGATTTGGCCAAATTTTAATTTTTCTCGAATACCTCAGTAAGCTATGACATTTTTACAAGTTTCTCAACGGCATGTATACTAAGTGACATATAAATCCGAACACCCAGTTTAAATGTTTTTATTTTAATAAAAGTTGGCGAATGTATTTATCTTACTGTAAATAACAAGTGAAAAAATTTTCAGCCTCATCAGTTGGACATTCCGGTTTTTATACTGCTTTTTTTTAATTCACTAACGCTCTAGAAATGAATATTTCAGCCGCAGTAAAGAATCAACGTTGGCGGATTTTGGTTCTTGACATCCTTTACGATCGGTTACGATGCCTAGAGTACGGAGACCTGTACGATTTCGTCAACTTAGTGAGTTTGATAGGGGCCGTATAGTGGGACTTCGGGAAGCTGGACTTTCTTTTCGGGCAATTGCAGTTAGAGTGCAAAGAAGTGTAGACACTGTGGTTAGGTGTTGTCAGGCATGGCTTCGAGAAGGCCGTACGCAAAGAGCAAGGGGCACTGGACGCCGCCGTAGAACAACAGACCGTGAAGATCGCCGCCTAAGATTATTGGCCTTAAGGGACCGTTTCTCCGCTACCAGGTCCATTGCAAATGAATGGTTTGCAGAACACGGAAGACCTATTGGCATGCGAAGTGTTTACCGACGAATGAGATGTTTTGGCTTGTTTTCATACCGGCCACACTGGGTCCTCCCTTTAACTCGAGAACACCGACGTAATCGCCTTGAGTGGTGCAGACAACGGTCACTCTGGGATCAGGAATGGAACAGTATTGTCTTTAGTGACGAGTCTCGATTTTGTTTAGGCATGCACGATGGTCGTGCCAGGGTTAGAAGGCGACGTGGTGAAAGGAGAAATCCACAGTTTTTTGTTGAAAGACATGTTCATCACACTGTTGGAGTTATGGTTTGGGGTGCTATAGCTTATGGTTCCAGGTCACCTTTAATCTTCATCAGAGGTAACATGAACGCGCAGCGTTATATCCACGAAGTTCTAGAACCCCATCTTTTACCCTATCTTGACACCCTGGCAGATCCAACTTTCCAACAAGATAATGCCCGACCACATGTTGCAAGAGTCACCATAGACTTCTTTCAACATAATGATGTCACATTGTTACCATGGCCACCAAGATCTCCCGACTTATCCCCAATTGAGCACGTGTGGGATATGATGGGTAGGAGATTGCTCAATTTGCAACGTCCTCCTCAGACTCTAGAATCACTTCGAGAGGAGTTGGTGGTTGCCTGGAATGAGATACCACAGGAGGACATTGACCACCTGATCAGAAGCATGCCTAGGCGCGTTGGAGAATGAGTAGCACATCAGGGTGCATCCACACATTATTAAAGGTCAAAGGGCTTTAAAGCAATGCAATCATTTTGAAATTTTTATCATTTACTTATTATGCTTCATTAAGTACTTATACAAAATTTTATTAAAATAAAACCATTTAAACTGGGTGTTCGGATTTATATGTCACTTAGTATAAATACGCTCCAAAGAACGCAGTTTTTTCCTAATTTAACCTAAGCTGTATCTCCCACAGGTATTAAGATCCCTAGGCATAGGATCCTGATGAACTATTTTCTTGAAAAAAAATTACAAACTTGAGGGGGGGACGTTATTGGCTAATTGGAATCGCGTAAGTTCCATTAGAAGCTGAGAAACGCTTACTAGCATCAAATATCAATTTTGCGACGTTTGTACATATGCGCTATTGCAGGCTGTTACGCAGTTTCGCAGTGTCACCGATGAAAGTTGTCACCGACTAGAAAATATATGCGTCCCTATTTGTTTCAGGATCAAGAAATAGAACACGAAAATAATTTTTTAGATCTGTCAATAGGTACAGGTTCTAGTGGTGATTTAGGTGAAACGGAAGTAGGTCTGCAAGTAGGACATAGTAGAAATTTTACGTTATCCCCTGAAACAACAGACTGTGACTCTAATTGTGGAGACTTAGATAGTGAAGTATCATTAATGTTAATGGAAAATACAATGGGTCCATCTGCCGGACTTTTAGGTAAGTATTGTGACCAATTTCATGACATATTGCGAGCGACAAAGAACTTAAATATTATAGTATACTACACAATGCTTTTCAGAAAGGTCCCCCACACTTATTTTTTGAACGGGTGAAGTTAGTAAGCTAAAATTTGGTGAGACGATTTTTATAAAAGGAACACAATTTTATATTGTCACCCTCAAACTGAATTCCTTTTGAAGACTCACAGCGTTGAAGATGGTTCTTCCACTCCTCATAACAGTGTTCGAACTCCGATACTGAAAAAGCCTTCAGCTGGTCGGTTACAGCCGTTTGAATCTTTTCGACTGTCTTAAAATGAGTTCCTGGATCTGATTTTTCAACTTCGACAAGAGAAAGAAGCTACAACACTTAAGTCAGGCGTATAAGGAGGCTGAGGAGACACAGGAATATTTTTACTTGCCAAAAACTCGTTTGACATTGCTGTGTGACAAGGAGCATTATCGTAATGCAACACCCAGTTGTTCTTGATCTGATGAACGGTGATGTTAGTCAATTTTAACTCTTGCCCGATCGTTCTAACTGTCAGCCGACGATCTGAACGCATAAGATCCCGGATTCAGTCAATATTTTCATCGGTTTTTGAAGATGAACGTCTTCCGCTTCGTGTTTCATCTTCAGTCGACTCTCTCCCTTCTGAAAATGCCTTAAACCACCGAAAAACCTGGGCTCGTGACGAAACACTATCTCCTTAGGCCTGCTGAAGTTTAGCAAGTGTGACATGTGCACTGTGCCCAAGTCTGAAGCAAAACCTGATATCACACCGTTGCTCGAAAGTGATGTCATTCATTTTTAGAACACGATACGAAAAACTAAAAACACAAAAAAAAAATCGCATACAGACAATCGAATTACTCGATCGAGTTAAAGCTTGTGCTGAAGGCGGATCATGTTCCCCTGTGTCCCCTCCAAGCCTGGCGCCTCCAGTGTTGCCAGATCGAACGCCACGTTGCCAGTCCCATCAGACCTCGTATGAGTACTTTATAACAGAATATAACTGTCAATCAATCTTCAATACAAATTTTCTTATCTTGAAATATTTTCAGCCCGCTAACGTGGCGCGTTCGAAAAATAAGTAGGGGTGGCGCTTTTCGAAAAGCACTGTATATTTATTAGGCTTTTTGTTATTTTCAGGATCAAATACAGACCTGATGGGTCCGGCAGATTCTCTGCGACTATATTCTAGTATGCCAATACTAGAAGATGGTCTATCTTCGGGCCATGCTAGTGACACGGACAACAACAATCCAACAGTGATGCTAATGAAAAGGCAAATCACTGAAATTGAAAGGGAAATCAATCAGGGAATATGCAAGTCTAGCCAATCGAAAAGCAGCGGTAGCTGTTTATCACCAAAGACCGAAGTCTGTGGAACTTCCTCGCTAGATTTAAACGGCTGTATCAGTAGTTTTGAAGAACCTATGACAATATCGCAAATCGAATTGCTCGGTACGTACTTTTAAAAAAACCCGTCAAGTTCACGTGTATTTACCGTTCCGCCATTGTAATTTTAATGAGAAAACACGTTTGCACAACTCTGATACGTAAAATGATCCATAATTAAAATTAAAAACTAAAAAGTTTTTGGATGACACATGCGCAATATAAAATGTCCGACTGGTAGTATCTAACCACAAACGGCTAACCATGGACAGCTTTTTCGTGCTATTTGGCAACTCTTCAGCAGTAATATTAATGAATGAAACATGAAATTAGAGGCATACCGGCCACCATAAGGAGCCAGCGCCTAGACCGCTTTGACGGGCCTTTACATTCCTTAGACTTCAAGGCTTGTCATTCTCTGCCTGTAGTAGCTAAGAGCCTCACAGCGACACGGAACGCGCGCCGAGGTCTCTTTCTCTATCCCACAGCGCTCACACAAGGGATCCTCAGCCACCCACACCACGTGCAGGTAGGGCACCTTAACGTGTTATAGCCAGAGAACAGTCCCACCAGCAGCCTTACGTTGGCTCTATCCAAAGATAAGCAGAAACGTCTATCCTTAGTGCTGGGCCCTACAATGAGTTCCCGTGCCTGACGGAGATGTCTGAACATGCTTCTCCATTTCTGAGAGTGTTGTCTTGCAATCCACTTCTCCATTTTCCTCCTAACTCTTTGCGCGAGCACCCCTAAAGCGGGCTCAGGACCAACGAGCTTGCTGGCTGATCCTGTCTTCGCCAGAGCGTCCGCCGCCTCATTGCCCATTATCCCAGCGTCCCCCAGTACCCACACTAACGATACCAGATGTCTCATTGCTAGACAATCCAGAACCTCCCTGCATTGCAATACAAAGTAATCTTACAGGCACTCAGTTCCTTCATTGCAGCCTGGTTGTCGGAGAAGATTGTTATTCTTCTCCCCCCCTGCCTTAAAAATTAGGGATACACAAGCCAAAAATACAAAGATTTCCGCCTGGAAAGTAGTGGTGTATACATGAAGAGGCAGATATAGCCTAGTTCTAAGCCCACAGACACCGGCGCCAGAGCTCTCACTCTTCAGCATAGAGTCCAAATGTTTTATTCAAGTCGTTGAAAAATGGTGCTAAATTGAAATATCTTAAGTACCTATTTAGTCCAGGAATTATTTTAGTATCTACTCGGAAAACTAGTTGTCTTTTTTTCATAACCTTATTCAAAAAGGAACCCTGTCATCGGATCTGCATGTTTTTGGGGAATGAATTGCTTAAACAAATTCCAAAAGTTGTTTCTTCAGTACAGGTAATGTTTTTTATGTTTCTTGGGTCATTCTGAACAAGAAAAGTTCTTATGTGAAGTTGTTACTTTTCGAGATGAGCGAAATTATGCCATTATCGGCCCTGAAGAAGAATATGATAAAATGGTTCATTCTTATATTGCAGGTATGCTGGCGACACGCTTTTTCCCACTTTTTGCGATCCATCTCACTTTTACTCACTTTTCATTGAAAACATTAACTTTTCTCACTATTTTCGCTCTCGCTGTACATTTTGAAGTTCATGAACGTATTTGAATGAGCTGTCCTCCGTTTCTCAAGCCCCATGAACTTCAATATTAGTTATTTTTTTATAAATTATAATTTTTATTTTTTTTATTGTTTATTGTTCATGTACATGGTTCTCCCCAAGCTGAGCCAATATGTATTACATGTGTACATAGTTCTGCTTTGCTAAAAGCACTCTATATATATATATATATATAACTTGAGACGTGGTCATTGTCGTCTAGACCAGTTAGGTGAAAAATTAAAGCTTCCGCTTTTTGTTGGGTACTTCGACAAGATTTAAGCAAAAGAGTCCTCTTTGCTTAAATCTTGTCGAAGTACCCAACAAAAAGCGGAAGCTTTAATTTTTCACCTATATATATATATATATTAGGGATTTAAGATTCGGAAACGGTAGTACAATACAAAATCGTTTATGAAGGCAAAGTTGCGCATTTAGGTAACTAATACAATGTTAGTTTGACAATTCAGAGTATTTTTAGAAAGACAGAAAATACGAATTTCCCTGTACCGTTTTCATATTCTCTTGGCTTAATTTGAGCTAGGATTTCAATATAAATTGCATTAATATTGTCACTTTGTACAAGCCTTGTACAAGTAACTGTTGTATGTTAGTTTGTTACTATGCATGTGTGGGACAAATCCTGAAACTGAGTTTTGAACCTTAACCAATCGAGCTGAAATTTTATCTGCTTGTCGCATTCGTGTGACAAAACATAATGAATTAACTGCCGCCATTTTGAACCTAATATGGCCTATGGTAGATAATGGCGATTTAACTGACGTCATTCTAAATCCAATTTTCCGGAGACAGCGATTCGGCGATTGATAATTTCCATAGCCACCCCTATAAATAATATGGGCGTCAGATGAAAGGGCTTAAGAGAAACACAATAAGCAAAATGTCATTTCAAATCAAATATGTCGACCGCCTCAAAATGGCATTTATAATTTCTGTAGTTACCCCTATGATATGGTTGTCGGCTGAAAAGGCTTGATGGGAGAGATACAGTAAGCAACGTGACGTCATTCTAATCTAATATGGCGGACATTTAATACGACAATTGACAATGCAATATTATTATGACATGAGAGGATCTGATGATGAAGCCAGGAAGTGGCCATTGGAACCCATCGAATAGAGCCTTGCTTGATTCCTAATGACAAGTACTCTAATCTTACTCATCTAGCATAACTATATCAAATTTCAACTTTTTAACATTAGTTCGTTAAAATGTAAATGTAATTACTGTTGCTTACGTCAATAAAACAGTAACAGTATATGACCTATTCTCGTTTTCACACATTCTTATTTATATTATCCGTTTAAATATGGCATTGTGATAATCAATTTCTTAGAAAATTAACTCACTTTTTATGTGTAAATTCACTGTTTCTCACTACTTTTTTTGAAAATGTTACTTTTCTCACTTAAATTCATACTTTGGGTCGCCAGCACCCCTGATATTGCTAAAGCTCCCAATTAGTCAAACGTCAATTAACAAAATCCCAAAGCATTTTAGGGAGCATAGGCTGCCGATTTGTAACTCGCACATCGAGAGTGTGATTTATTAACAATTAAAAAACATATGTTTGCAATAAAAAATTTACCTAAATACTTTGGTGTTTGAAGAATATTTAGAAACTTTGGCAACACTGAAATTTTTATTTTTTCGTATTGTTTTTCAGGGTCAAAAATGAACTATTTTGGACTTTTCAAAATATTAAATCTCTCACATCTCGGAAACTATCAACCTTATGACCACGTTTTTTATTCAGACTGTCCCAAAAACCTAAAAGAATATGGTGGAATTTTGTAAAAGCTTTGTAGTTTTTGAAAATCGTCCAGTGGCGGTGGAAAGAAAAACAAAAAAACAAAAATCGTTCAAAGTTCAGAGGGTCCTGATCGGCGGTTGAGGTTTGTAGGGGGTGAACATTTTTTGATCTCCCAACTCTGGTAATTCTATGCACCTATTAGGCATATTTGACACATCATAGATTTCTCCTTACAATTGCATTCAAAACTTAGGTAGAGAAATGTTTTCGATCCGCGTACTCCTACCAAAGCTCAACCCCCCGGCGAACCGCTCAGACTAACTAATCTCAGAGGATTTAAAAATGCGCTGAATTTAATCCCTTATGAACTTATGAAGGCGTTGCGTAGGAAATGCAGAGGCAACCTACTTGACTTCATTTTTGAGTAAGATCATACAAAAAAATAATCAATATTCTTACGAGCAGAGGCGAAGATGCTTTTTGGACTACGAGAGTTGTTTCAAAAATAAGGTTACCACGTTTTCTTCAAGCACAAGGAATTTTTTATTTGAATAAACATATTCACCAGTGGAAACGCTGATCTTCAAGCTATTTATCTCCATATTTTCAACCGCCTGTCCCCGGATCGTAATTCGCCGATCTTCGAGTAACATTTGTTCAACCTTCGCCATAATTTCCTCGGGGATCGACGGCCTCCCGCTTCGTTGTTCATCGTGGATGTCCGAGCGGCCGTCAGAGCACTCTCTTCACCATTTGAGGACATGTTGAATGCTTATACACCTTAGGAAAAACCATTGTTATACATGGGAAATCATTTCTTGGTAACAGAGCATCGGCTCGTCTACTTTCATCGCTATTCGTACATATTTCCTACCGTTAACCGCAGACCTGTATCACGAATGAGAATAATAGGCAGATACGCTGTGTTGCCAATTTGAGTAGAGCTTCCCGAATTGTGGGGAATTTAGAGTTAAGTGTTGATTCATTCAAGCTTTTAATCAGCATGGCCTAGACGTTAGAACTTCATAAAGATAACATTGAAGCTGAATGCTGCTGGAGTATAGTGTTTCGAATATTCAAAGCGGAGCGGGACACTATACTCGTTCAATGGGTCATCAAGCCACAGTCTTTTCAACAAAGAAATTATTTTACGAAAATGCCTTATATTTTTACGATTTTGTCGTCACCAAATCTCTGTTTCTCAAAATGTACGTCTATTGTAGAATTTTCAGCAAACTAAGCAAGAAACGTGATCTAGTATTTACTCAACATTACGGATTTCTCGAAATACATTAAAAAATGTGACCTAGATACCTAACTGCCCCAAGCTCTTTAAATATAACACCTTAAACCAGGGTTACCAGGTGCTCAGTCACGTTGATTGTCATGTTGTACTGCGCAAGTCAGCAAACAATCTGGCGTAATAAACGTTAGGAATCATCAGGTATTGCCAGATTCCCGAATACCGGGCACCATAGTAACCGTTATAGTTGTCCTTTAAAGTTGTCAAATCGCCCCTATGGCGCAAATTCGCCACACCAGGCAACTGTGCTATAAACAAACCCTGTTTATCACTACTATTTGATAGTCATATGGTAGTTGTAGCCCTATCTAGCGGTCCATGATTTCTCTCAATACTGTTGTATCTCTACTGGCAGCAAGAATAGGTATTACAAAATCATTTATACAACAATATACAAACATGAAAAATATGATTTGAACCATGAAACATTAATACAATTTTAATAGTTTGAACTTTTTTCATTTTTGGAATACTCTTATGTGGAATCCGCAGCTATTTTTCCCGAAATTTGGGTAGACTTAGATTTCTTAGAAATATGACATATTGGTATCGGCAACTCTGCGAATGAGAGAAACAAATCGCATTTGTTGAGCGCATCCGTCTAAGCGGTAGGCGCCAGCGCCCGTTCTGCCATCTCTCTCTTTTATCACTCTTCTACTTTACCCCGTTGTCCGTCACACTGCGACGCTGCCGATATGATCGAGTGTCTTTCACGCACCTACATACTTTTGTATATTTCCATCTCTCTTCCTCATCATAATGTATAATAATGGTTTTTTCCAAGGTGTATGTTTCCCCACATAGTTCACTCAAGTGGCGATGAATTTCTATGGGTGGTAACTTTTTTGCTTGCAAAAATCGGATGGCCGCACGAATTTCGCACCTGGGGGTGACGGCTACATTGCGCATGGCTGTTGGGCTGATACTAAGCATCGAAAATAGGCGCTTCTTGTTGGGATCTGTGGTAGGAGACCCGACAAACACGACGGTGCTGTCACTTGATGCTTATGTTTTATTTTGTTCTTTTTTTTTTTTAGAAAAAACACCGCCACCTCCCGCTCCAGCACCCCACCGTTTGATTCCTGGCGAGAAACCGAACAACGTAGAAGCAGCGATCAAAGATATTCGATTAACGTTGCAAAGAACAAAAACCCTTCCTTTGCAAAGGCATCCAGAAGAAGATTGTGATGAAAATGCTACTAGTCCTATTTGGGTACCAAGGTATGATGAAGGGAAGGTACAGGACTCTTGTGGATTTTGGTTTGCTATGTCATTAGGCCATAAGACACATTGCTCCACAATCTCTACAATTTATGGTAGGGATTTTTAAAAGTGTTATGAGTCGCAGTGGCGTAGACTACATTGTACCTTGAATTGTTGTTTTTTATCAACGCCTAATATCACTTATTTGTTAAAATGATACCCTGAGGTCAGGTTTGGAATAATATGATGATTATACTGTCAGTCACACTTTTATTTTGTTATTTGTACGGAATACACAATATTTTAATTCAGTGGTGCCATATTTTTTTTGCACATATTTTATTCCCACTGTTCCCTCAACAGGGTCAATTTTTAAAGTGGCGATTTATTCTTCAACACACACTTAACCCAGCGATGGTACAACTTCTTTAATCCGTCTAAAAAATATGTTTTCTGGAGGTCTACAAAGTGGGCCTCCGTGGTGGCGATAAAACCTCCTCATTCGACTCAAATTTCTGCCCGCCGAATGAATTTTTTAAGTTTGAAAACAAAAAGAACTCGCACGGCGCTAAATCGGGAGAATACGGTGGATGGGTCAGCAGTTCCTAGCCTATTCGACCAGTTGGGCCGTGTCGACGGCGGAGGTGTGAGCCGGTGCGTTGTTATGGTGAAAGATCACGTTTTTCTTCGCCAAATGGGGCCGTGTTTCCTGTATTCGGCATCGGATCGGCATAGTAGAGCCCTGTGACCATTTTGCCCTTCTGCAGGTAGTCGATATAGATCACACAACAATAATCGAATCACCGAACGATATTACTCTTTTCCCATTATTTACTATCAACAAAATCAAACAAATAAGCATCTGCAAAGGGGCCAGGAGTGAAGCATAGTTATCAACCCTCATACTTTTTGGAATAATAATAATAATAATAATAATAATAATAATATATATATACAGGTGAATAAATTAAAAAAGAAAAACCACAAAAGGATAGTGTCCTTATGCGTGGTTCAAAGTTCAGTATATGTACATACTTAAAATCTATTCAAAGGTAAGGGGGTATATGTGATCTCATTCTTTTAATACATCAATTTTTTATTTATCTTAAACTTTTGATATTAGTTTTGCCAGTGAGAGTAGGTGAAACCTGTTATTTTATGATTTGGTAGGCTTATTATCCAATTTTTTATTGATATTTTAAATTGATGATTTTTATATTTAAATAGTTCTTTTGGTGTATGATTATACGAGTATATTAGCAGACCCTGGAACATAAATGACTATAATATAATTTATTTTTTAGGTATGAGTAGGAGTATTTTTGTTTTTTGTATTACAGTTGTACAGGTCAGGTAACGCCTCAAGTCAAAGTCTGACCATTTTCGCTAATGGGCGATTATTTACTTTGAGAATCAGTACTTACTTTTTCTACTTATTGTTTAGGTACTTCAAATTTTATTTGAGAAACGAGTATTAACTCCCAAATATTAACCTTTGCCTGATTTCAGCATTCACTTATTTTTATTGACCTGACCTCTTGGTTTATATTGCAGTATCTATTTAGATACAAACATATAGCCAATCCAAAATACACAAGTGTGGCTGTACCTTTGATAAAAACTCAATTTGTTTTACATTAAAAATAGTCATTTCAGGCAAAGGGGAATATCCACGACCAGTGCAGAATCTGAAAGGAAAGCTACGAATAGTGGGAATGAAGAAGGTAATTTTTTCCATAAATTATTCAGTATTCAAATTATACTTGATGTTCTATTATTTTCATATTTTTCACATTAGGAATAGTATACAAGATAACTAGTGCCATAGACTACGTTTTATATTTCCCTTCCAATCTTTTTTTCAAGATCTATACCGTGCTGACGAGTCCCAACAAGTATACGTAAACGGAATGCAAATACAGGGGGTCATAGAATGTTGTCAGGAAAAGAGGACAGCATCAGCCAATTAAAATATAAAAAAAAAACATACAAACATCGCTCCGTAATTGCTTTTTGTTTAATCATATTGCTACACACAAATGTATGATCAAAAGCCACATTAACGTGCGTAGAATTGTTTTCTAAAACACTTATGTCAGTGGTATTTTGCAAGTCACTATGCGAAAAACAGCATGCTTCTGGTTTTTGTGAGATTAGTATCAGTGTCTAAAAGACGTATTGTCATCGCGAAAATTTCGAAGCTGAGACATTATGTTTTTTTGATGTCTGTCTGTCCGCTAATCTTACAACCGCCTATAACTTGAATGCAAAATCGATATAGCTTTGAAAAAGTGATCCTTATTTTTGCAAACAAATGGCCTACAACGTTTCGATAAACAAAATAGTTTACACGTCTCGAACCATAGAGACAGGAAATTTCCGGACCTATGTTTATGTTAACTTTTTTTCATAATTTCACATGCTGTATCTGACTTTAAAATTCCCTGACAACATACTGTCATATGTCTAGACATATGACCTAGAGGAAAGTATTCAAAACCGCAGCGCCATTTTGTTATTGATATGAAACATGAAAAATAAGACAAACATGAAAGACGTGAGTGCTACGTGTCAGATTCCTAAGCTAGAGACTACAAAGCCAATGAGGTTAGGGGTCCGCTTTAGTGGATTGTCCGGTTTTGAGCACTTTCCTTCATTTTGAGAACTTCATACTTTTTTACGGTGATTACTTCTCTTTGTTGAACCACTCTGTATTTATTGTGCCAGAAGAAAACGATACCGATTTAGAAACAGACCGCTTACTGGGACAACAAAGAACTGATGACCAAGGATTCTACGATGATAAGGTGAGTTTGATATTTTCAAATTTCTATCGAAAGATCGCACATGTTCCCAAAGATCGGTTCACACAAAAATAAAATCATTTTCTTGTATGTGATTACAAAGTATTATTTTAGACCAGGATATCTAGACTGAATGAATTTTACAACGGAATTATACCACCCTATCAAAATAAACAGGGTGTTTCTTAATTGAATGTCAATATTCAAGGGGGCGATTTTTGGGTTCATTTTGAGAAGAAAACTTCATATGATCTTTTTAAAAGGTAGAAGTTTTCAAAGATAAACCATTAAATATTAGTATCTGTAATATCACTTTAGATGTTTCAATGAATTTTGGCATACATGCACTAAGTATTAAGAGGAATTTTTAATGTACCAATTTTTTTTTAATTTACACCAGTGGCGTTTGTTCGGAATTTCACCTGCCTATTTTAACAGGCATTTATGGTGCGCCGCTGATTTCCCGTAAAATCAAATTTATTCTTGATTTTTCAATCCGATGCACGGTTTTCGCATTAAAAAAATTAAATTATTTCTTTACATGATCATAACAATATCGTTAATACAATATCACCATGCAGAAAAACAGATTTTATTTTTTTAGTTGAAAACTGTGCGCCGGAATAAAAAAAATCTGTTCCAGACGGCGTCTGGTGCTGATACGTTTCAAAACTTACAATATTTTCTATAAGAATGTTGCATATATAATAGGGTGTCCTAGTAATAGACGTCAAGCCGGAAACGAGGAATAGCCTAAGTCATAACAGAAAAGTATAAAAAAGCCTAAATTATGATTTTAAAATTTTTTAGATTTTTCTAATATTTTTCTGGTAACTATTATGACTTGGCTTATCCCCAGCATCCGGCTTGACGTATATTACATATTCAGATAGATCTTTCCAAGATACTATAGCATCCAGTTGCCATCTTGAAATTTGCAATCGCCACTTCCACGCTGAACTAAAGGGTGATTCATAAAAAGTGGCAATATTCTTGGGATAGAAAGTACATCCAAAAATAACAAAAAAGTTCCTATAAACATATATTCTAATATGTGGCATTACCAAAATACAGGGTGTTTTAAATCTTTGCTTCACTGATGAGACTGAATAAGGACAAAACGTGAACTTCAGTATAAAAAATAACGCTGTTGTGAGTCAGTATTACTCTCCAAATACACTACATCCAATTTTCAGTTTACACTTGTAACTTCTCTAACATTTCAAAGTAAAATGCATTGATCCTTTTATACGGATTTTGCCTCACATATTCAAACCAATTTTCCTCCAAAAGGAATAAAAAAATCACCCATGAACATTTCGTGCTATTTTTAGATGGTCTCAATTCCCTAGAAATATTGCCACTCTTTTTAATCACCCTGTATAGGACCACCAATTTAATCACCCCGATTTCAGCTTGCTAACTTAACCCGTTCAAAAAGATAAGTGGGTATTCTTAAATAGCCCCGTTCCGTTGTAAAATTCTTCTATACACTTTAGTCTAAAACAGGGTCCATATATGGCTAGTCAGCCTTATCTGTTATTATTTATTTTTTCCATCCGCACTATCAGGGCTGGAGAAAACCCAAAACTCGGACCATATTGCCGCAGATTAGCCTGACCACCTCAAAAACCGTTCATAACAGTATGGACGAAGACACCCTTCCCTTAGTTGCCCCTGAGACCCAAAATTCTGAACCCCAATCCCCTACTGCTGTCTCTGAGAAAAGTCAGTCGCCCCTGAGTCAGAAAGGATCAGTGTCATCAAATAAGCAGAAAAAGGTGCGATTACAAGCATGCAGATAGAAGATTTATATTAAACTGAGATCGGTCGGAGAGCCTAAACACACATTTATTCTGCAGTAATTGTTGCTTGATTCGGTTAGGGTACGTTTCCAATACAACAAATTGCAGACACATGTGCTTTGCTCATGCTGTGCAACATGTTGCAGCCTGTATAAAATGGTACAGTGCATATTTTAATGGAAACGTACTTTTAAAATGCCAGAAGTCGCCAAAAGGGTTGGGAAAAATGCAGGCTTGGGGCAATGATGTATCCAAGCCACATTTGAATAAAAAACACATTTTCATCTAAAAGCGTTTATATCGGAAGTTGCTTTTTTGATAATTCGCTGATAGATCTCGCTATAATTTCTAAACGACATTTTCGAACCACCACGATATCCCACACATGCTTACACCAAGAAAGGTATAAGCCACTGAAATTCCAAGATGGGCGCCAAAAGGAAAGTAGTCGATGGTAAAGACAGTTGATGTTTCAGTAATACAAGGAATTTAGTTCAGATTTGGTCGGACGAACAAAAACATCATATTTAGTTTATTCAGATTGAAAATTAAAGAGCGCGGTGGTCGTCGCAAATTGAAAAACATGCAATTTTCTTAAACTCGGATATTTCGGGGTGTGTCCGGACCCCCTGGATCCGCCACTGTAGTCGACCAAATCTACTATACTACCAGAATCGTCAGCGATCTAGCGGTCACTACTGGGATCTTTATAGTTCCAACAAATAGCAGCTATCCGCTCTCTGCAGTGGTCGAATCTGGTGATGGTAGACCTTACCTCCTGGATAAATGACAGTTGCGATGTTTTGGATTTAGCTCAGTTAACAGTATGAACGCCAGGCATTGACTGATAGCAGTTCTGATAGAGACTCTGAGCGAGTAACTCAGGCGAATAAATACATTTGTGGCTTATGATCTGACTGCCGTTTTAGACGTGGCTTATGCTTTTGTTTCGTAAAAAACTATTTTTTGTTTCACAATACCACTAGATAATGATTTCAAATAATATATTTATGAGAATATATGATTCTCCGTATTGAGAAGGAGTATCGTAGATCGCGAATAACTTCAGTAATATGTAATTTTATGATGTGTGGCTTATATTCTTGACTAAATAAATTAATCTTAGTAGCTAGTGACCTTCTTCAGTCTTTAGAAACATTCAATAATTTTTCGAAGTAGAGAACGCTTATGACACAGTCCTAATGAAAATATCTTGGCCATATCGTAGAATTGACCATTTCATAACATGGTTTTCACCATGTCGTTAAGTCGTCAACATTTAAAGATTTGGTCATCCACGATTGATCATATCGTAAAATGTCGTATGTCCATAAAAAAATCAGTAACAATCCAGAATATGTGACGAACTCGTTTATTGTTCTTTAAGTACAATTACTCTTATGATTAAAACTAGTAACTTTAGGAAATTAAAATAAAATACTTATATCACAACATTCTTAACTTGCACAGCATGTCATAATTAAAATTTTTGAGCATATCAGATATCATCAATTAAGTTATTACCTCGCATGGTCACCGTGCTCTGTTTTATTTGACCTATAACCTAAAAATGAAATAAGAATTACGATGAGTTTTACATACGTATAACAATAGACAAACCCAATATTTTAGCAGGCACACGCTTTTGACTTCCAATAAATGAATGATAATGTGACGATTCAAGCGTGAAGTACTAACCTGTGAAACGCGTTCCTAACTCCACTGCTTTTTGATGTTTTGATCGTCCTTGCGTGACCCACATAGTGCTGGAGAACTCAGTACCTTTTTGCCGTAAAGTCTTCTAATCTCACTTTCTTCTTTTTCACTCATTTAGTAACGAGCTATTAGAATTCTCACTTCGAAAAACAACCGTGTTGAAATGTAAATAAAGCGCCAGTGGCTCTATCGGTAATTAATGTAAGTATTTTACGATTTGATCAAACATGCTTGACCACTTCATGAAGTAGCTGCGGGTTTAGTTGATCATATCGTTAGACGATTTGTTATCATTGATCTGGTTAACGCACATCTCGATTTAGCCAATAGATATATATATATATATATAGATGCACCATTTCATCAAATGGTCAATTTTACGATGTGGTTACGTCAGATAAATAGAACTTTTACCCATTTGCCATGAAAAAGAATTTTAACGTAGAGGATGTCGCCAAATTTAATAAAGTGTTCATGTTTAACAATGGACACCCAAATTACATATGTATAAAACAAACCTTTTTTAAATTATCATTGGAGTACAACTTTTTTCAATAAGCCACTAAGCAACAGTATTTTCAAAAATGAATTTATATTACGCAAATGCTCTATATTTTTTCGTTTCTATTGTCATCAAATGATTTTTCCTCAAAATGTAAACTGACTGTGGGATTGCAATCGAAATTATGCAAGAAATGTGATTTCAGGATTTACTAAAACTATGGATTTCTCGAAATAAAGTCAATGTGGCTTACGTACCCTACTGCCCCAACCCTTCAATTGTTCCCTAAATCTTTTGGAATACCTGCATTCTGAATTAAGAAAGGATTAGTCAGGAAGGAACATGTGTTCAGAGCCTAACCAAATATTTTTCGTAACCCAACTAGAAATGGAACTTGTGAATTGCACTTGGATAGTCAGTTCAATTCGTGGATGTATTCAACGGTGTCAGAGTCCTTTTTTTTCTTGTACGAAACAACGTTACGGACAGTTGGAGTCAAATAAACAAGAACAAATTAGCCTTCTGCCGAAGAATACCAGTGGAAGAGCCGCCCCCGGAAAAAACATTCTGCCTCGGTGGCTGAAATGCTACCTGCCATTTGAATGCGATCGCCCATTCATTACCTGTGGTAATAGTAGGTAGTCTCATCGCATCTGCTCGCAAAAATATTCTGATTATGTTTTTTGCACATAATAGCAATTTTTGACGCAATTTAGGTATAGGTTTGTCAAAAGGGGTCTTTTCTAAATGCATTTTAGAAAAGAACTGTTATTCCAACATATTTGGAATCCGTTTTTTTTATACAGGAGCTCAGGACGTGGTGTAATTGACAGACGAGATCCAATCAAATTTTTTCTATGATTCATGGGTGTAACAGTGTCAAAAACGCGATATCACAAAAATGGGGTGTGTAGTTTTACTTCTGATTCTCAAAATAACAAAGAACTTGGTAGAGCTGGCTTGTGTAGACCACGTAGTAAAACGACTGAAAACTGGAGTCAGTTTCACTCATCTTTGCGAACAGTTTTCTACTGATCATGTTCTTCCAATTTTACACAAGTGCCCAAGTCTGAAGCAAAACCTGATAGGACGCCGTTGCTCGAAATTGATGTCACTCATTTTTAGAACACAATAGGAAAAACTGTTGCATAAAAAAATGGCTACGGGCAACCAAATGACTCGAGCGACTTCAAACTCGTACTGAAGACGAATCACATGTTCCCCTGTCTCCCATCCAAGCTAGGCGCCTCCAGTGTTGTCAGATCGAACGCTACATTGCCAGTCTCATCACTGAGGTGGTGAGAGCACTTTCTAGCTGATACCCGCCAGGTAAAATGAAGGCGTATTATTAAATAAAGGCCTATTGTTACTTAATTTACAGACCTCGTATTTAGTCTAAACGATAGTCCATATTAAGAATTCAATAACATATTCCCCTCGAGTACTGGTTTACTTCCGAAATTCAACGTTTTTGTCTAATTTCCATGGACTATTTTATGGAAAAACCTCATATCTGTCATGAGGTGTATGGTACTTTTATCTCTATCCATTACCCTTTTCACCTGGATTTCGACTAAAAATCGCTGATTTCCAAGACTATCTAATTTCAATCCATAAGTTTTACGTCTAGTTGTGTTACAGCAAAATTAAAGATTACAGTTAGATTACCGAGTTAAATTTATTCAAACAATCTCGAAGATATAACACGTTAATATTTTTTAATTTTGTGAAATTGTAATTCAGTAGGCGTGTAAATTCAAAATACTCGTAATCTCTGGTTCGAAATATTGGACAATATAATCCTGAGCATCCCTGGCTGTATTATTCCAGTCATTTTAGTTATATCTAGAAACCAACTAAACGCCATAGGAAGCAGTCAAAATTTTCCCAAAAACAATTTCGCGAAAGAATAACTTTTTAACTTAGGATTTTCTGCAATAGTTTGTGTTCATATGGATTTCACAGAGCACAATAAATTTGGAATCTTAGATTCATTAATGACTGGAGTAATTTACCGCAAAAAGATATAGCAACACTTTCCAGAAATGGGCTTTTTTTATTTACATTATAACTAAAAATGTTCATACACATACATACGTATTAACCTCATCAACTGTGATTGTTCAATAAAAAATATCGAATACTTGCGGAAATTTCAGAAGAAAAGTTTGTTATGTACCTAATCGAAAAATAGTGACAACTATTTTACATTTTTACATACAGTGAACACCAAATTTGCTTGACGGCTTGAGTCAATGTGTACGAGAGAGAAGCGCGAAAAGTGTGTATCAACACATGTTAGAAAGAGCTAGACGCCGGCTGAAGAGCGAAGGCTGCCAATATGTTAACCTGAAAATATTCGCACAGGCTTCTACAATAGCTTACTGTCAAACCTAAGAAGGATGTCTGTTCGACTATTTAATTTGACATCTTTTTTTCATTTTGATTAGAATTATTCATTTCAATTTTCATGCGATTTAGTGTTTTAATTTACTTTAGAATTATCTTTGATTTCCACCGATGGTGATAAAATAAACACATCCTGAGTTATTGTAACATTTTGCGACAGCGAGCGGCCGGAAGATGTAACAAATACCATTACGCAATAGAAATTATCACTGCCTGCGTGTACGCAGGTGAAAACCATTTTGAAGCAGGATGACACTGCCCTAGATGGGCACTGACCAAAATCGCTCATCTATGATCATGGAGGTGGAAACCATGCCTTGGAATGTACGAAATGCGGTGTTGCCAAGCG